AAAGAGTGCTTACTCTGGAGCGGACCCCATTGCGAGTTCCTTGTTGGGTGGATAAAGAGCTAACGTGGGTGTGGTGGAGCCAGGAGCATGGTTAAGACTCTGGACTGGAATCCCTTGATTCCAGGAGCCAGGTCACTAACTTACTAGATGGCTTTGGCAAGCCCCTTCACCTCAGGTTGCCCGTAGCTTCGCGTCTGTGAGAATGTGACACCGGCTGCCGCATGAGTGAGACGAAATGCTGTAAGAGCATAAGCCATGTAAGCAGGAGGCGGCTGCCACTTTTCCCACCATCACGAGGACGGGCAGGCGTGGTGGTCCTTGTTCTGCCTGCCTGCTCTGTGGCCCCCATCTGGAAGCCTTCCCTTGGTGCCCATCTCTCTTTCCAGGTCTTCCTCCATTTCCAGATGTCGTTTCCTTTTTTTTTTTTTTTTTGAGAGGTTTTCGCTATAGGGTGCGTGCGCTCGCCAGACAGAGAGAGAGACATAGAGACAGAAAGTGAGAAACCACCTCCCAGAGGGGATGGTCACGCCACAATCCCTTCTCCTCCATTCTCCTCTTGGGATCTTGGGCACGCACGCACACACGCCCGGCGTGAGTTTTAAGCCACCAGGTCTGAGACGCGAACCGCAGTCAACTACGTGGGAGTCCAGCGACATAGCCATTACGCTAAATGCTGGTTCTCAGATATTGTTTCCTATTGAGAAAGAACTGTGCCCCTTCTCTGATACTGGGATGTTTAGTGCTTTGTTCTTGGACTCGTCTTTTCCCATACTAGTCTGTTCAAAAAATTCATAGAAAATGTTTACTATATAAAAACAAACAAACAAAAAACAACTATTCATGGACTTTTAAAATTTTTGCACCAAAATAAATCCATAGTTTAATTCCATTTAAAAATTTTTAAAAATTATATATAGATATATATATTGTTTAATATTGCCAGAGGGCAGGTGCACTTGCCAGAGAGATAGAGAGATGGAGAGAGGCAGAGGGTGGAAGCCCCAGTGGGGCAGGGTCATGCTTCATTCCGTTTCTTCCCGCTCTGTCCTGTTGGGGATGATTCCCCACTTTCTGTCTCTGTCTCACATATGCCCTATAACGAAAATCTCTCTCTCAAAACAAGAAAAAAGTACACAAGTTCATTGAAACCTAGGTAAATATTTTTCAAATATAAATGCTGGTTGATACTGTTGGGATTGATAAAACACACATTTCTAAAACAGTTCTAAATTCTTAATTTTTGTGGGGAGGGATATGTATATTCGTCAATAATGATTTTGAAAGGACGATTATTGTCCTATGTAAAGACCGTGGCATTTGTTTACATTTAAAAGGAGCCCTCAGGACCAGCAGTTAGCATAATGGCTATGTCATTGGACTCCCATGTAGTCCATGGTGGTTTGAGTCCTGGACCCGGCGGCTTAAACTCAAGCTGGGCGCATGTGCGTGCGTGCCCAAGATCCCGAGAGGAGAATGGAGGAGGAGGGATTGCGGCGTGGCCATTCCCCCCTGGGGGGGTGATTTCTCGCTTTCTGTCTGTCTCTCTCTGTCTTTCTGGTGAGCACATGTGCTCTATAGCAAAATAAATAAATAAATAAATACAAATAAATAAATAAATAAATAAAAATAAAAATTTAAACAAAAAAACACCTCTCGCCCCCCCCCAAAATTAAATAAAAGGAGCCCTCATACTCAAAGAGGTCAGGCACTCTGCCTCCCCCCCAAACCATAGTAAACTACTTGCAGTTTTGTTCGGGGTTGTGTATATGGCGCCCCTCCACCTAGAACACAGTGCCCCTCAGCCTGACCTGCAGAGGATCTCTGCATAGCCTGCTCTGGAGCACTTCCTCTGGAGACCCTGCTCTGATTCCTGGGCTAGGGCAGGAGCGCTCCCTCTGGTCCTCACAACGTCCCCGGCACCCTGCCCCTGCCTCACTGAACTGCGGGGTCTTTACTCCATCTCTCGCTGGGCTGTGAGTGCTCAGTGCCTGAAGAGGTGCTTGGCACAGAGTAGGGACAAAATAGTTTCCAAACACATGAGTGGATTTGGGAGGCTTCTTTGCATTATTTCTGGGTCAAGTTTCTCTCCTCCCTGGAGGTTCTCAGAGTCTCTTCAGAGATTCTATTAACGTACCAATAACTCTTGCGCTCCGGCTCCTGGAGATGTTAGATAAGATCTGAATTACCAGGGATTCTCAGTCACTCATTAGATACCTTATTCCAACCTGACAAGAGGCCATCGATCACTGCTAGTGCTTTTCTTCCTTAAAAAACATCTCTCTGACCATCTCTTGGCTAAGCCAACATGAGTTAATTTTGTGGGTAAGGTTTGGTGAGCCCTTGAACCCTCCGCCGTCCTTATCTACAAAGTCCCTTCGTTATAAAGATGGACGATGTGCTTTGTCACCTTCATTCTATTCCACCTGCTTATGCTTTTCTTTTAATTCTTATCTCATTACCCAGTGAAGTCACAGCACGCTAAATATAGCAATAATCTCTCACCGATATACATTGAACAGTGTGTAAGTTTGCAAATATAATCACATGAATGATACAAATCATTGATTAGAGACCATATTGATGCAGAAGTCACTTTGCCATGATTTACTCTATCTCATTTAGTCTGTACGGCAGTTAACTGAGGCCGGTGTTAGCATCCCTGAATTACAAACACATACATCAAAGCTTGAGGGGTCTAAAACTCATCTAAGTCACCCAGCCAGTAAGTGACAGAGGTAAGTTTGGCACCAAAGCCCTTCATCACAGCCCCTGCCACCTGTGATTGCTACAGAGCCCTGGAGTCCATGGGGCAGTGTGATATTATTGTTGTAACCTTACTGTTGAGATGAGGTCAGAGAGGTCAGGCGGCCTGGGCGAGGTCATGCAGCTAGTAAGAGGCTAGGCAGGCCTCAGATCCTGGTGTCCTGGCTCCCTCTTTCTCCTGCTTCGTGCTGTTTCTCCAATCCCAGGAGGTGCTCACCGGGCTCATGTTTCTTTCTTTGA